ATGGCTGTCTTTCAACTGGCTACTCAATGACAGAGGGAAAGTACGGCAAGTGAATAAAAACAGCTGCTTTGACAACACACAAAGCTGTCATTATAATTTTGCTCGGTTCATATTTTTACGTTAATGAATAGTATTCATCCAACACTTTTATACAGTTCAGCCTTTCAAATAAACACATCAAAACACTCAAAATAGGGACAATGTGTGTATTTGCTGCAAATGATAATCAGAATCTTAAGACTCTTTCAGCATCAAAAATCAGTCTTAAAGCACCAATCTGCTCAAATTTCCCTCAGTCGTCACAGTCCACATAGTCAAAATGCTTTTGGGATCCAAATAACAAACAGAACATGCTTAATATTTAAATGGGGGCTGACTGTACACCAATCCTGGATTGTGGTATCAAAAACTTCCTGGGTGCTCACTTTGTTTGTTCCTGCTCCTTGGTGCTGCTGCCCTCTAGTGGCTTTCCAGCTACAACTACATGCTGCTTTCTGGAGCACCGTTGAACTCGCCCTTCCTTTTTGCTCCCAGTAGTGCCTGTTTTACTGACATCAGCCTTCCCCTCCTGAGCAGGGGGAGGTGTGGGTTGGCAGCTTTCATTAGGCTTGGTTTCAGCTTTCTGTGGCTTGGACGCAGCTCCTTTCTCCAGTGTCTTCTTTGCCTGATATATAAATGCAGCCAAAGTTAATTGACTTTAACTGCAGGTCCAGACTGGAGGCTGAATCATTGCACAGCTCCTGTAGGTTCATATAAGATTGAATATCCCTAATCTCTTCATTCAGATATGGATTGACACTTACAGCAGGTATCCATTTTCCGCCCAAGTGGCTCCCACATTCAGGGCACGTTGGTGGCTTGTGGCGGGTGACATACACAAATGAACAACCAGGATTTAGACACCTCCCTCGACCTCTCCGGGTGTATGTCTTCACAGACTGCATTAAAAGAGGAAAACATGCAAGTTTGTGTCTCTCAACTGCTATTACCATCCCCAATCATAAGATCTGAATGATTTTCCTGATTGTCTTTTTCTGTGTGCAAACTCTACGCTTGTCAATTTTAGTATTGACATTTATAAAGTGGATGAATAATATGGCTGCTTACCATTTTATATGAAGGTTTGGCACTTTGTTCTATGCTGGCACCTACAGAGACCATCATCATTGGGCCCACAGAGCTGATGCCTGCCAAAGACTTGGGCTCCAGCAGGTTCTGAAGTAAAGGACAAATGACTTCACTGCATTAGTTAAAATACTTTTTGTGATTAAAATAATAAGCTGCATAGATTTTAGCCCTTATAATTCTTAAATAAATGAAGCTCATTCAGCTGACATTTAAATCTCACCTGGGTTGGTATAATGGCAACCACCTGTGTGGTTTCCTGCTGTATCTGATGCACCGTCACCCCGCCATAACCACTACCAGTAACTCTTGTCTCATTTCCTTTCAGCATGACTGCCTCTGCTGTAAGGTTGGCAGAGCCTTGTGAGACATGGGCGTCTGTGGATGCTGTGGCTTTGGATGAAACAGAGGAAGTGGAAGGTGGGGTTCCTTGTGGGTCCGTGGGATGAGACGCCACTGCTGTTTCTTCTGCTATGTTATCAACAATGATGGGCTGCTCGGAAAGTTCCACCTCTTCGGCCAACCCAAGGGGTGTGAACTGGGACTCTTGGGTGAGAGAGACGGAAGGCAGGCCTCCCTCCATTGGAGGGTCCAGAGTCTCTATGCTCACCTCTGGCTGAGAGCCACCCAGCTGCTGATTTGAGGGGCAGCCTTTAGACAACACAAAGTAACTGGCTCTGGGGAGGATTTTGCGGAAGCCTGGCAGGTCTTTGGAGGGGCTGTGAGAGGACTGAGGGAGAAGCACAATCAGGAAAATTGCACAGAATCATTTTGACATTACACTATACAGCAGTGAATTAGGCCACTACTGAGATAAAGCTGCTATGCAAATAGGTCACTTCATTCTGACTTTATCTGTAGTTACATGTGCCAAATGTATTCATTACACATGAAATTCATCCAATTGACTACAACAGTGCTCTGCAGTGGGTATTCATAAAGAAGGGCTCTGATATACTCAACAGCTTATACCTATAATCAAGCACTCCATCAAGGGCAAACCTTTTAAAAAGATTGGCTTTGGTTGACTGCTCGGCACTGACATTAATTTAACTGGTTCAACTGACACAACAGTTCTGACAGAATACACATTACTATCCCTGCAGTTATTGGAATCTATTAAACAGGAAAACAATCATTCTGACTTTGTTCAGCTTATCAGACTTTTCTGTAACTCGTTTTGGACTTTTTGATCATTTACGTGATCAATGATCCTTAAACTGTGTCAGCAGTTTTACTTCATATCAACCACGATTCAGATTCCCTGGTTATGCTCAGACACACTGGTCTGCTTAGATAAAAAGTTGAGGCTGGAGCTTACTGTGTCTGTACCCTCCTTCTCAGACTTGGCCTTCTCCAGATAGTAGGCTTTCTCAGCTACGCTGAGCCTTTTCCAGCTCTCGCTGATACGCTTGTTGATCTCTGACTGTGGCAGATTAGGGATTTCCTGTTGCATAATCTGGTGAACATCAAAGTAGTATAACAGGTAGGCAGACCTAAAACAAACAGATTAGTTTGACAGTACATGTCAATGGGAGAGAAAGGAGGCTTTATGACAGGGCTTTACTTAATGCTTTGATATTTTAACAGCTGTGTGTAAAAGCCCTTTGGGATATGTACATTACCTAGGTTTCTTAGGTTTCTCAACATTGTCTTCTTGAGCTTTGCTCTTCCTCTTTTTTGGGGTAGTCACCTCCACTTGGTTGTAGCAGCTCTCCACCTCCTCAGTCACTTTCATAACTTCAAACACCTCCACTTTCTCCATGATTTCCAAAGACCTAGGGCCAACCTGAAGACAGCATGAGATTAGTTTGTTTTGCAAGGAAGTTGTATCAGATTGCACTGTTTTTTTTTTTCAAAAGCTAGTGTTTTAACTTAATAAAGAAAAAGGAAAAACAAAATATATATTGCATTGCATAGTGCTTTTAATACCCTTATGTGTAAACGATACGATATTGTGCAGAGTCACTTTAGATAACTGGATTTCTAAAGTTTATTATAGCTCACTGCTGACAGGAGGCCAATACAGATACTTTGTCTAATAAAAGAAACAGAAAGTAGGGCAGTATGACTACGGGCCGGTACTTTATGCAGAGATAATATATCAACACAGTGCCTCAGGCGAAATAAAATATCATGGGAAGTTGTCATGCACAGGGCTCTTAAGTAGACTAATAAAGCGTGTGTGGCATGTTAATAACACTGCTCCTTCCATGCTTTAAAAGTAGGTTTAATGGCGTGTGTTTATACTGCCTGCACAGTCACCGAGTTATCCAATGAAATGCCTTCTTATTGAAGCCTTACCTACGATGACCCGAGGCTCTACAATCTGGTCTGAACAACCTTTAGAAGTCGCCGAAAAAGTCAGGCATTGTGCCGACGGTCAGTAATGTTGAAAAGTGCCTGTGTTTCATATTTAATCGAGGATTTGCGATGTATAAATGTCTGTAAAGTAGCTTCGTTTCTCGTCGACTTGTAAAAACATGGCGGTTTGTTGCTATGGTCTTCAACCAATCAAATGCCGGAATAAACAGGTACTGGCCAATCAGCGAAGACGTTTTTGACACGTGAAAGTAACGCGTGCGTCCATAGACCGTCGATACCGCTGACGTTCAGAGTGCATTGACAGTGTTTATTGATCACATTGTGTCAACAAACCTTCCCTTTATAATCAATCAGTGTGTTCAATGAAATACTACAGTGTAATGTCATATTTGAAGATTGGAAACTTGATCAATATGGAACAAAAAAAAAACTCTTTTCGCTCTGAAAATGTACAAATTAGGTCAAACAAAAATAAACACAACATAATAGAGACACCTTTATACATAATACATATATATATATATAATATATATATATATATATATAAGTATTGGAAATGAAAATACAAGATAAATCAAATAAATAGTTTAAGTGAGTTGAAAATAAATATAATCGTCACACCAATCAATAGAATAATAACTAAACTTGAAATTGATTAATAAGGACAGACATAAGGAGAAAAAAAAGCTATTCATTTGACATATGTTCAAGGGATTTCATCAAAAATGTTTCTGTAATAATCACTTTTTTGTTCTTTAACAGCGAGAAAGTGTAACAGTGAGTTAAATTCAATCAGAAAAAGAGGAAAATAAGGTCTTCATCCCCCGACAAAATAAAAAAATTCACAACATAGTTTAGAGCTACTTATTCATAACATCATAAAATATATATATATATCTGGAGATGTTTACACAGTTAAGTGCGTCCAAAAGTACAACATATGTGGTATAACATGACAAGTAGGATCACGAGAAAATAGAGAAATAGAAAAAAATAATGTAATGAAAATAGAAAATGTTGTTAAAATAAGAAAGTTAAAAATGATGTAATAAATAAAGAAAAAGAACATAATTAAATACATTAAAAGAAATAATAGTTACATATCGGCTACAGTTTGTTTTTGAATTTACATATAAAACCTTGCAAAGATAACTATTAAATGTAATACCTCAACAAAGATTTTATATCATAATAAGTGTCAACAAGGCCACAAATAATGTCCCAACAGCAGGATAAAGACACAGAACCATAAAGAGATAGCTTTATTAATGTATACAGGAACATTTTAATTAAAAGCTATATTTACTGTAACCCAGATGAGAGACGATAATTAGTTGAGCCACCAAAACATGTTTTTGAATTGGCAATACTTTAAGAAAGACAGATCTATATCCTTGAATAAATCTTTCAAGTTATTCTGTAAAGTTATCTTTGATATGTTTAGGATTTCTACTGAGACACTACTCCAAAAAAAAAAAGGTTTAATAAACAGTAATTCATAAAGGTGGCACAACAATATGTCTCCATGAGCTACAACTTAAACTCCCAGTATCACCGCACTCAAAACGATCACACCCAGACCAAACTAATCGAGCGAGAACGCGTCTCAGGCCTCTGAGTCGAGCACTGATCACACCACTGAGCGAAAATGGCGGATGACAAGGTGAGTGAGTTCCTGTGCTCTGGCTTTAAATGTATTAATTTCACGTGTTTCGTCAGATGACATCAACTGCTAAACACGGTTTCTCTACAATTGAGTTACCGGGGCGATGGTCGCTTTTAAATTAGATGGATAAATCCTCGGGCTGTGTTTCTGTTTGCTATCCGACAAACTTGGAGAAAAGTAGCTTTTCTGTCAGAGAAGCTCTTCGTGGGAGATTCTGGCAGTAACTGTGAACTCTAGGCCATGTTGTACGGCGACGTTAGTTATCCTGTCTTAAGTTACATTAACGTCGGAGCTGTCGAACTGTGTCCTAATACAAATGCTGCACATTTTTACATTTTATTTTAGGATCCTCTGAAACAGTTAAAAGATCTGACGAAGCTCAAAAATCAATTGGAGGAAATCCAGAGGAGAGTGGAGAACGAAGTGTCTGTGGGAATCCCTCAGGTAAGTGGTTTAATGTTTGGTGAATGTATTTCTAATATATATATAATATATATATATATATATATGTGTGTGTGTGTGTGTAGAAATGGAGGAACATTTGCTCTTTAATTCACCTGTTGTATTATTGACATTCTCCTCACTGATGGTAAGGAAATAATAGGAATCTCGGTATACTCTTTCTCGCTTCCTTTGCCTTTAGTTTAGTGATTATTTACTGTTATATTGTTGATAATATGATGGTTTATTGTGATAAATATGTTACCCTACTTGTACTATAAATGTGTTTACTCATTATTGATGATTTATTCATCATTTATGTCATTTTTATGTGCTCTGACCATGCTTGAAAATCTATTATTATTATTTTTCTCTTGCATAGGGAGGCTCAGTGTTGGGATCTCCGTTTCTGAAGGGCTTTCTGGCCGGCTATGTGGTGGCCAAACTACGCTCCTCTGCCATCCTGGGAGTGCTGCTGGGAACAATCACTGGCATGTACGCGGCACAGAACTATCAGGTGCCCAACATTGAAAGGACCGTGAAAGAGTACATAAACAGCTCGAGAAAAGGACCAAAGTAATTTGGGCTGACTGCTACTCTTACCGGTGAAATAACGGGCACAAGATAAAGAAACACTGTTTACGGCTGCTGGCTTGTCAGCGGCTGGTGACGGATCGGCCTTCAAGATTTGTGTGTAGACTGGACTATGGATATAATTATATAACTAGAATTTCAATTGGGACTCAAAGTAAAAGACTGGATTTTTTTTAAATTTGCATTTTTGTTTTAGTTGAATACTTCTCTGTTTCATTTCCACTTGTATCTGTTTGATGTTCACACAAGATGAAAGCCTTTGTGCCTACAAGGTTTTAATGTTTGGTCCATCAGATTTCATAACTTTTGCTGCCTGGAGCAGTTATCCAAGCCTGTTAGCTCATGTGTAAAACAGGCAGTTTCACCTGTTTACTTCAATACATATAAAGATATATACAGTTATACAGAGAATAGTGCATGTAAGTATTTTATAATTGATATTTAAATTGTTGAGATTTATAGCTGTTTAATTTAAAAACAGCCACAAAGTGAGTTTTTTTTTTTTGCACTATAGTTAGTACTAGATTTGTTAGAAATCAGGATGATTGTGATCCAGAATGTGGGTCCCAGTTCCCCGGCAAGGGATTAGGAGACAGTGGGTGAAAAGGATTCAGTGGGGTGTCCTTTTTGGGCTGATGGTCCTCATTTACGGCTCTCATGCGCCACTCATCGCTCTCACCAAAGTAGACGGTCAAGTTCCTTTCAATCCCTCATCATGTGTTGTTATGATTGAGCTAGCTAAACTCCTGATTTCTTTGGCGACCCTTGTTCTAACTGGGGGTACATCCGCCTTAAATGCTCCTCCACCTCTAATCCTTGTGGCCCCCTATGCGGTCCCTGCCATACTATACGCTCTCAACAACAACCTGGTAGTCCTCATGCAGGCCTACATGGACCCAAGCTCGTACCAAGTCCTCTCTAACCTAAAAATTGCCTCCACTGCCCTGTTGTACTCCTTCTGCTTGGGCAAGAGGCTCCGGCCTGCTCAGTGGCTAGCTCTGGGGCTCCTCATGTGCGCAGGCGTGTGCCACACCTACAGCAGCCTGGATCTTGAGGACCCTGAAAGGGCTGAAGCTAAGGGCTCTCCCAGGCTTCATATCACAGTTTGGGGGCTTTTCCTTGTGCTGGTGTACTGCTGTGTTTCAGGCCTGGCAGCAGTTTACACAGAGAGGGTGCTGAAGAGCCAGAGGCTGCCGCTTAGCTTGCAGAATCTCTACCTCTATGTCTTTGGTGTGGCCATCAATGGGCTCTCCTCCTTCTCCGCTGTAGGGAGTGAAAAAAGCTTTTTAGAGGGATACTCAGGGGTGGTTTGGGCCATTATAGCAGGGCAGGCAGCTAACGGACTCCTGATGTCTGTGGTGCTTAAGCACGGCAGCGGGATCACCAGACTGTTTGTCATTTCCTGCTCCATGCTGGTTAATGCTCTGTTGTCTTGGGTCATCTTAGGGCTGCAGCTTACACCTTTTTTCCTCCTTCCCGTTTCTATGATTGGACTGGCAGCTTACCTTTACTACAGATAGTAAAGTCTCCACCAAACGAACCACAAGGCCCACTGAACCCAAAACGTTGCAGTCTACCTAAACTTCTGTATTCTAGTTTTTAAGCTTCAGATGTGATTTGTTTTCTGCCTTTTTATCCATCTGCCTTCTGACTTCAACATCCGGAAACCAACACTTGTATTTACCATATACCATATTATGTGTCATGTCAGCTGATGCCTAATTTTACAATTCATATGTAAGACTAACTTGTAATCCTGTTACACTGTACAATTCAAATAATAATGCAAGTATTATTATACCTTCAGTGATATATTTCTGAAGAGTGCTGCTATTGTCATCTCAGTGATTTTGTTTTGTATCGCATCCTCTGCCAAGAACGTCAAAGTTAATATCAAAGTGTTACACAGTGTGTTAATGATAACCAATAAATTGTCAAGAACAGTTTTATTTCTCATGATTTACTTTAAGCAAACAGATTCATAAACATTGTTTAGTCATTGTTGTTGAGATAGCGGCTCAGGCTTAGGATCACCTCGCACAGCTAGAGTATCCTTTAACTCTCCCAGTGCTGTCAAAGGAAAAATAAGAATGTTTAAAAGCTGGTGGGAGGAAGAATCATCGCTTGGCATCCCCGTCACATTTAACTTCAGAGGTTAGGGTAAACTCTGTAATAAAACAGCCAGTTTAGTAGAAGTTACGCAACATACGCTGACCTTTACGGAGTTGTTTGTTGTCAGCCTGCAGCTGCTGGTTCTGGGCAGACAGGTAGACGGCATCCTGCACAGCCTCCAGCAGCACACTTCTGTATCTGCCCTCTGACATCTTCCTTTGCTCCTCGCTTACCTGATGAAACACTCTGAATACCTAGAGAGCAGCAAAACAGACAACACAGAAAAACAAACTGGGAAAAGCACAGGTGACTCATGCAAACACATTTACTTCTTGCTGTAGACCGAATCACCTATACATCTATTTGTAAAAGACACTAGTGAAAAATAGTAATAAACTAATTAAATGAAAATGTGACATAATTATTTGAATCATTGTTCTCTCACTGATCCAACAAACCCTCACCTGCAGGCTCTCTTCTCTCAGACAATGCAGCTCTGTTTGGTGCCTGTGGTATTGATTCTGCAGGTCTGTCTCAGCCTGCTGGGCCTCAGCGCGCAGGGCCTCCATCTGCAGCACCAGGATGTGCCTCTCTCTGGTCAGCACCAGCAGCTCTCTCTGGGGGCCTTCCGTCTATCAGAGGAATGGATAAAACCATAAAAAATGCAAGAAAATAACAGAATTAAGTTGCAAATGCAGTGGTTTCCACTGCCCACGATAAATCCACCCTTGCATTAATTTAGACTGACTCAGCATTCTCAGCTAAGATAGATCACAAACTGAATAATGTTAAACAACAGTGCATCTCATTATCTCACCGGTAGCTGTTCCTGTGCCAACTCTCTCTCCATCTTCTCCACCTCCTCCTGAATTAATCTCCCATGGTCCTCCTTAAATTGCCTCCTCCGTTCTTGTGCTTTGTTGTATTCCAACTGAGACTGAGCATTAAATTGGCAAAATAAATGTCTTAGTGCAGCTTGCCCACTCTCACACACATAAATCTTATTTATATGTTTAATAGGATATTCACAAAGCCTTGTAAACACATTAACCAATTGGATGTATAGGTGTACAGTATTATACTTAAAATGGCAGGGCTTAGATGGATTGTGTTACTTGTTGGCAGAGGTCAGATTTCTCTGTCGCAGCCCCGTTCTTCAGTGTCTCCTCTCTGAGAGCCTCCCTCAGCTCCTGGATTCTTGCTACTCTTTCCTGGACTTTCTCTACATTCCCTTTACCCTCTGTGGATATAATAAACACATATCAGTGATGCCACTGCTAGAAAAGTTGACACATTTTTCACATCACAGCAAATTACCTCTGATATGTTCTTCCATTTCTTGTTTCAGCTGGTCTTGTAAATATTTGATTGTGTCTGTACCCTCACTATTATCGCTGCTGTTTGGGGCCCGACAACTCTGCCAAATCAGTGCAAAATACGGTGATTATTATGTTCGGAAAAACACACAATTTGTTCTCATTTTGCTAAATCTGTGTGGAAGAGTAAATAATTTATGTAGAAACCTGTGTTTTCCCTTTTATCTTCTTTGACTCTTCCCTCCTCTTCTCCCATGACTGATTTTTCACAATCTGTTGGAGAGATCACAGAAGTTATTTGAGCTCTGACCTCCAATTAGTCCCTGCTGAAGATGGCGAGAAAGCACTATTTAGTGTTAGGCTCATCTTATGAATTACCTGGAGGTTTTGGGTCAGCTCTGCTAGCCTGTAAGTGTTGTGAACTTCATCTTCCCCCTGAGACATTATCCTGGTTCTTATCGCAGTGATGTTATCTCTGATCTCTTGCTCAGTTGCCCTTGGACACCAGCGGGCGGCGGTGGCCTTAGTCACCAAACTTCTCGCTTTCTGGGCCAAAGCTAAAGCAGAGGGGGTCTCATCATCTAGAAGACCTTGTGGATAAAGATAGTCGTTGTTATGCTCAAAGAATCTAGTTAAGTTAGTGTTATTGGGCTCAGAGGATAACTTACCTTGAGGCTGGATGCAGTAAATAAGGACCGTCCTACTGTTTCCTGTTAAGGCATCGTTTAGGAGGATGTGGAGCAGTTTGTCGCTTGTTGTGGCTTCACATTGGATTCGGTCCACAACCTTCATCAGTGGGTTGACTCTGGAGAGTATTCAACTATTAACATACTAACACCACATACTAATGAATACAATGTGTGTACTAATCTTTACAATATCCTATTTTTTGCTGGTAGTGTACAAAAAAATCAACACACTTTACTGTTGCAATATTCAAGCTGCAACTTTAAAATTGCCACTACTAATTAAACAGTCAGCAAAATGTTTTTCCAAAATGTCAATAGTTATTTTTTCTGTTTTGTGAGGTGTTACTGGAACTGTTCCACATCCACAAACAATTAAAGTGGATATAAAACTTGACTGAAATAAAGTCCTGCCATGGACACAGGAAGCAAATGATGTTGTCTTCATTGTTAATCTGTCTCAATTGACAGTCCTTTTTTACAGCAGGCATTTTAACCTATAGTAGGAAAAGCACAAGTCATATGAATGACATCTGTTCTTGTCAAATGTCCCAGTAAGTCATGGCAGTATGCCAGTGAGGCAGCATGCACAAACCAGGACCCTGGAACTGAAGCAGCTGAAAGGAATTCAGCCAGCCTTAATTTCATTATTTACAACTGTACTTTTCTTACTTTGACATGTCAAACAGGCCTGTTGTTTCAAATATCTTTCAAGGAAAATACTGAACAAGGGTTTATATGTTGTAACCTTATATATATATATATATATACTGCCAATGGTTGTAACTGATGCTTTCCTACTGCTTAAAAGCATTTCCTCCTCCAGCAAAAGCCTTTTTATTAACCAGAAAGGTGGTGAATGGACGGTTCAACCCCTTCCCTTCTTCCTCCTGAATAATCATGTGAGTGATGGGTGGCCACAGTCAGAACAGTGCTTTAACACTAACGGACATTATGACACCATTTTTAGTTCCCCTGGCTGTAATGGATAGCTCACAGTATAGGAGTAAATGACCAACCCTCTGAGGTCAGTCTGGCTGGCACCTCCTGCCAGGCTGAACAGCTGCAGTCTGCTGCAGCACACCTGTGGCTCCACTTCCTCTGGAAGAAGTTTCCACTCAACAGCCACTGAGAACAGGGAACTGCATCTGAGGGAAGTACAGAACATGAAAATGCAGAGACAATAACAACATGCATTCAGTGCAGCCGAGATAAATCTGACAGATGACAATCCAATCACTCATGCGACTGTAAGACATTTAGCTCTATTGTGATCGGCCACTGTAATTAATCCATTCAAAGCAATTAAGTTAATGGGTTACTTGGCCAGAGTTTATTCGACCTACCTGCTGGAAATGGAGCCTGCATTGGCTTTCAGTGTTTCCTTGCATGTTTCATACAGAGTAAAGGCTTCTTCTGCTGAACACACACACACCTCATATAAACCTCCTACAAGACTGAGAAAAAAAAACATTCATTCAGTTAATTGTACAGATTTTGAATGGATAAGCCATTTCAATATGCATTTGTTAGTTATTGGATCTATCTTGAGGTATCAGTGGTCATCATCTGGACTCACCTCCCAAGAGCGGGGTGTGTCACAAGTTTTAGTGTCTGTCTACCAGGGTTCAGGAGATCCACAGCACTGCCATCTGGATAAAACTGTCTGACACATATCAGAAGAAATCCTGCACCATACTTTGTCTAATATGATTTGTGGTTATGCTTTATTATACGGAAGGACAAACCTGAATGAATGACACAGAGATGAACAATTCCTCTTTCATCTGTGACAACATATGACTAAACAGATTTTCCAAGACCTAAGATAGAGTGAGGAGTAAGATTAATAGTGACAAAGCATGAAACTCAATAATATTCAGATTGATTGTTTTGGGCTCCACCTGTTTTATGATACTTTGATCAATCAGAAAACTAATCTTCTCTGTGGAGGCTCCACATATCAGCAGCGCTCCATTATAACCTCTGGATATGGACTCAGTGAGGGGCTGCAGGAGCTCAGGGTGGAAACTCTGCAGGTTTATATTCAGACTTTTAGTTTACCAGTATTTGTTACTATAGCTCAAATGCAATAGTCAAAAGCTCTTCTGTACCTGGATGTTGTCAACAGTCGCAACTTGGTCAAAAGAGAAGGACTTTGCTTCCTGATTGGAAAACAGATTACAACAGCTTGAGCTTTGAGAAACACATTTCTGAATGTTGATTGTAGGTGTGAGTGAATTCAAATGTTTTACCTCATCCTTTTGTGATTTGTAGTCCACACCACGCCCTTCTTCACCAATGTATACACACTCTTTGCCCTCTGTGCATACAAAAACACAAATTTAAACACAAATCCACAGCAACAGCATAGCATAACATACAGATTTGACATTTCTGTCCTTTCTTTACCTTTGACTGTTGTAAGTACAACTCCAACTCTTACTCTTTCAGCTCCCTCACACAACTGGAGAAACATGGAATTTGGTCAAGTTTTTCTTTTTTAATTGTTACTAACGTGGTTGTAAAAAGAAGGTACTTACAGCTGCGTTCATGTTCACAGTGGCCATCCCATAAGTTCCTGTACCACAGCCACTGGGTCACCCGGATTTTATTACACCTTGCTGAAATATTAATGAGCCAGAATCTACTTTCACTTATTCAGGTGATCGGGGTGCAGTTACCAAGAGGGACAGAGAGGTCAGGTTGTCGATGAGCACTTATACATTTTTATTATGTTCTTTTGGATTATATAACAAAGAGATCAGAGTGAAATCATATTACTAACAAGTATAGTATAGTGAAAAGTAAGTTTCATTTGATCATTCACTTTAAATCATATAGATATACAAAGATTCTGCAATATTAATCAATGGTGAGATAAAAAAAAAAACAATAAACAAAAAGAAACTGTGACAGTGTTATTAGAACTGATTTGTTCTCTATTTTACATTTTATTACCCACAAGGGAACCAGCTTCTAATAAGGCATCCATTAAAAGGGGGTTGTAAGTTGTAACTAATGACTTTATTATTATTATATTATATAAAATTAATATCAATTAACAGTTACTGGTTTGATCATTTATAAGGCTTTAGGGATCAGATTTATAAAAGCACATTTGAGATGCCAGGTTGTGAAAATCATTTTGCCTGCTTCCATATCACCGGACATCAGAGCAGCCTATTCCGTCAGTCTGTGAGACTTGTACCATAAAAGGGAACTACAGCTTAGTCTAGTTAACCCTGTGCTGTAAAATGATAAATAAATCTACCTTGTGATCTTGTTTATCATTTCTATTTCATTTAGTGCAGTTATACATGTTGGTAATCCATTAATAAATGTCAAATTAATTGTCAACAAATTGATTTTGGTCCAGATCCTCTGCAGCCCTCTGGAAAAGTAATGCCGAATGCAATCCTATCAGTCAAAGGGATTTTCACAACCTGGCAAAAAGTTGTTATTAACAATAGCTGATAACTGATACAAGGTTTAGTAACTAATTTATTAACTTAATAAATCCATTAGTTAAACCCTTTATAAAGGGTGGATTAGAAAGTGGTACCCAAACAAGAATCCGATCTGCTGGAAACATCAACAAAAATAAATCAGACATGACAATAAACCTACAAAGAGGTTGAACCAGAGAGGAGAGCCATGATGTTGGGTTCCACTGGTCGGCTTCACACATGATTCAGGAAAATAATTCATTATCTGAGTCCCTTGCTGGGCCAGTGGTGTAGCACACAGAAAGTCTTCAGGGTAGTCCTCCACAGACACACTGTCTGCGCTGTCCAGGAAGGTGATGGTCTCTTCTAGGGCACAGTCACACTGATATGGGTTCCTCCCTGCGTGCAGAGTATCAAGCTGTTCCAGTGTGCTCAAACTGACATCTGTCTCTGTTATCAAGACGGTAAGCCGGTTATTGTCCACCTTTAGCACCTGAAGATGAGATAGGTTATCCAGAGAGGGGAGACGTATGAGGCGGTTATTAGACAAAAACAGCTTCTTCAGGGTCTGTGGTGGGTCATGGAATACCTCCAGAGAATTATAACTTAGATCCAGTTCTTCCAGAGATGCAGAGGTTAACTCGTTAACCTCTGTGATTCCTGAGTGGGAGAGATTGAGCATTGTGAGCGGCTTCACCTGGAAGCACTGTGGATAGTGGAGGATGGAGAAATTGTTCCTGCTGACATCAAGCTGAGTGAGGGTGGGGGTGAGACTCAGGAGCGTGCAGAGAGACTGGAGGGAGGTGAGGTTGCTGTGCCTCAGATGAAGGGATTTCAGGTACTTGAATGAAAGAGAGGCGCAATGAGAGATATTCTGTAGACTAGTGTAAGAGATGGGGTTCTCTGACAGATCTAGATGAGTCAGGTTTTCTACTCTTTGAGCCCAAATGCAGTCGGTCTCAACTAGTCCAGAACGAACAAGGCCAAGAGATTTCAGGGGGCCAAACAACCAGCGGTGAAGGGCCTGAAAGGAGGGCTGTAGGAGAGAGGGGTCCACTGTTGTGTCTTCAAGGTAGAGGGTTTTAATTCTAGATGCTTCCTGTAACAATGGAGGCTGTAAATGCTGGACAACTTCCAGAGTGGAGGAAATTATGTGAATTTCGTTCAAATTCCTTGGCAGAAAACTGATCACTACACTGATGAATGAAAAGGAGATGGTGACATTGTTGAAAATTAGTTTATTTATCTGGATCATCTGAAAACCAAGAGTGAGACCAGAGACAGCCATCTCAGATACATCCAGAGTGCCATCTCTCAGCTCCAGCTCCGAAGCCTGGAGACACATCAAATTTTCTGGGTTGAGGATACCCATACTGTTGCACACACAACGACCAGCCCCATCCTCACTAAAAATGCAAGAAGTGGCCGCTGAAGTGACAGTGAGTCCCAAAAGCAGGAGCAGAGTCAGCCTCTGATTCAGTGTCATGGTAGGCAGAAAGCCCGACAGCAAAATCTGAAAATGTCAAGATCCAAAGAAGAAATGTATATATAAAGATAAGGAAATAGAACCAAATTTTTTTTTAATCACAAATGGCATCCTGGTAACATTAAAAAATATTAAAAGGCTTTCAATTGTACCTTCTGGTCCTAAAAATACATGAATTTAATAATGTATGTCTTCAAGTCAAGTACTTACCCACTAGCTTAGCTGTAAATGTTGAGCACTTGTTGCAAGAACTGTTGGCTACTGGACGTTCAGCCTATTTATTCTCATTTGTCTTCTACAGCAACTTCCCTTCTTGTTTCCCAGACCTCTAAAAAAAGAGGAACCGATAATCCTCTCGGATATACAGTACTTCCTCAATGAAAAATGAAAATTTCCAAAATAATTATCATTACCATGGAGGGCAAGTCGAGTCAGCAACTCTCCAGTGATTAAAATTAGTCTTGCGGATATGTAACCCACAAGAATATGAAGAAATAACCTCTCACCAACAGAGATGCTCAAATCAAATTTTCATGCCCTCCCTGTCCAGTGAAAATCATGTATCTCCAAATTTCTTTATGGGTTGAGAAAATTATCCTACTTCTTATGCTAAATAAACTATTTAAAAAGCCTCTTGGATTAACAGGAACATGAATTGTCACAAAGTAGTAAACATGGCTGTTTTTCTGAGCTCAAGAAAAGTTGACTGATTGGAGATACATGGTTCTCATAGGACAGCAATACTACACACATATGATCATCTTAAAGAATAAGAGGCATTGCTGTATATCAAACTACCCAACAGAATATAAAGCAGTTAAAATGAGCATACATGTAAACATCAAATGCAACATACACATTAAAGAAGTAATATTAATCAAAAAATGTCATATATAATCGTAAAACACTGGCAGGAAAACCGTTTCTGTAAAAAGATACTACTACTACTTCACTACCTTCACAGTAAGTGAAAGTACACTTACATGCAAACATACATATACATACGTATAAACAACTGACAGAAATCCACCTGGTTTTCTGCTTTGCTTATCAGATTTAGTTCATTTAATTTGATGAATATTTGAAGATAAGCAGGGCCTTATTTAAACTGTGCCAGCTTGTTAATTTTGCACATTTTGTGTCCGTCTCTCTTGGATAATGATCTTAGAACATGTATGAGGAGGTGAACCTGCAACATGTTGTTGTTTATGAAGTGGAAATGTCTCAAGTGTAAAATGTAATAAGTCTGGGGTGCTTCAGTGAAAAGGGAAAAACCAGAGACAAAACCAGAAACAGATACCAGAAAATCCAGGACAAAGTGTCATCTGCATCTAATCAGGTTCAAGTTTATTTAGGCCTTATTTTGTCTATAGCTTTAACAGTTATTTGATCTCAGTAGGACATGACTCGGGTTGAACATATAACAATGCAAACAATGTGGTTAGGAAAACTTTATTTAGCCTTCTTAACACATACCTACAATACCTACACAGGAAAATCAATCCCTCATACAGTCACAGTGTCGCACACTTCTAAGGGCTGGTTCACCCCAATGAAAAAAATTAAACTTAAAAAGTAAAACAAGTAGCTGGGTTTTCATTGGTGGTCCATGCAGCATTGAAAAACATTCCAACAATTAAACAGCCACATCTCTTTCAAGAAACCGTGTCCCCATTACTCTGAATGGCCCACAGACTACACTGGCAACAGTTTTTATTGGAAATACTACCAAAGAAATAATGCCTATGAAAACTGTCCCCAGTGTGGTCTGCGGGTTATTCAGAGAAACAGGGGACACTGTTTCTGTAAAGAGTGTGACTATATTGTTAAATATAATTTTTCAATGCTGTGTGCACCACAAAAAAAACAATCTCCTCCATTGCAGGGTTCTTGAGGCATACACCTCAGAGATGATATCTTGAAAAATGGGTAAGTAAAACCTAGTAGCGGTAAGGGGGAAATATGTAAAATGGGTGAACCGACCCTTTAAGCATTCCTCAGAGACAGACATGTTTATTACACACACACTTTAATATACTGAAGATGATATGAACATCTAGGATAAAAATGTCAATGAGAACACCCCAAAATCATTCTGTTTTAAAGACAAAAACTGCAAATATTAAAAGCAATAAACTGTAACAGGCCTCTATTGATTTGATTTCAAGCAGCCAGGAGAATGGTTAAAATCAAGAGAATACATGAAAGATTAACTGATTTATGGAATTAAAAGAAATTGGCATGTGGGTCAGCATCCAGCTTAAAATTACAGATTTGTCATGCCCGCGAAGATTGGTGGATCAAAGAAGCATCCAAGACTTTTACTGATCTGGAAAAAAGAAAAACACAGGAAGTGATGAATGATGTTTTAGCAGCCAACAAATGCCTGTCAATAAACACTGAAACTATCCACTAAAAAACCCTAATTGGAGGCACTCACCATCAAAGCTGAGGGTCTTCTGCATCAGCCTGGGTGCAAGCATCACACGGCGAGGCATTGAGCCTGAAATGAACAGGAAAATAGGGCAATTAAGCTACTTTCATCATCCATGACAGCCTTGCATGTGCATGAATCATGCAGCGTTGAATCAAGTCCTTTAATCTGTTTCGTCTACCTCTCTGGCAGTCGGGGCGGCCGCGCATGGTGGTGCCCTCAATGGCTGTGCCAGTCTCATCCACACACCAGCAGTAGCCAGTGGCGTGCCAGCACTGCATGGGCTTGTAGCGGCCCTGCTCGTCACACTGGGGCTTGTAGGACCCGATCTTGCTGGGTCCAGGTGCTGCCTCCATCTGGCATTTGGTCTTGATCAAAGAGGCTGAGTTTAGGAAAAAGTAGAGAACGTTGGGACATTAAAAGCCTGATTGGTGTATCACTGGTGACTGCAGCAAAGTCAAAGTAGTAGTGCTGCATTTTGGGAAATACACTTATTTGCTTTCTTGCAGAGAGTTAAATAAGAAGTAACACTCTTGTGTCCATTAAATATCAAGCTACAGCCAGCTCAGCTGTGACACTATTAACGTGTTTGTTTAATCAGTAAAACCAAAGTGTAAAAACAACAATTCACAGTGTTAGAGGGGTTATGTGCAGAATTATATCTTGGCTATGAACAATAAGTGTAATTAGTCAGCTTTAGAGGTGCTAGTAGGTGGATTTTGTTATCTTCAGACTCAGCCAGGCTAGCTGTTACCCCATTTCCAGTGTTTATGCTAAGATAATAAGCTGCTGGCTATTATTCAAGATACACATGTGAGAGCTGGTATTGATTTCTCATGTATTTCCCCAAAATATCTCTCTTACATCAATATCGTCACAGTTATATATTACAGTCTTTGGACCTTAAACCCCTGACATGTATGAAAACCAGCATCTACTGTCACAGCACCAGTCTGTCTCACAACATCAGCAGAACATTAAACCGTAAAAGAAAGAGTTGCGGTAACCTGGGTCAGCTGTTGGGGGCACAGGTGTCTTCTGGGCCATCTGGAAGATCAGCCAGTAACGCATCCAGGACTCAAAGCTCTGCAGAGAGCAAAATGTTAAAGAAGTCAAACATGACAGACAAGATAATTTACTAATTTCTATCTTAGTTTTAGTAGTTTCTGTGTAAATCTGTGCGCGGCTTTACCTGCCACTCGCTCTCATTGATGTGCTGCTTCAGGCTCTGCAGATTGGCCATGAAGGTCTCGTTGAACTGTGGCAGCTGGGAGTCCTGAATGAGATCCTTCACCTGTTTCTCCACACTGACAACAGTGTCTTGCAGTTTCTGATGGGAGGATACAGAGGAGCCAAATATATGAAGAATGTTCCTTTACATTCATGTTTAAATGTATTAATTCATTATACATCATCAATATACAATATTTTCAGTTTCAAACAAGCTTGTTGCCTCCTTTATACAGTGAAATAAACCTACAGTCAGGGGTGTCTTGGTTGCCTTGGAGTCCTCATCCGTGAAGTCCATCAGCATAGGAAGGCTGCTCATGGGCATGTGCATCCTCACTGGAGCCACCGCTGTAAAAAATAAACAAAATAATTAATTAATTAACAAAGAAAACCAAAACAGAAAATAATTATGAGACTGCAAAAACAAGCTTTGGGGAGAGAATTTCTGTTTGTTTTTTACTGAAAAATGTGTGGATGTAACATTTGAAAAGAACTCCTGATAACAACTGATATCTTTGGGGTATAAAATACACACAACTACCGGATTTAAAATATTACACATTTAACATTACCCACAGAAACAACTTGAACTAAAACACATACAATAAAAAACAGGCAACATGTAAACAAAACCTAGCTTTTCATCACAGCAGCTCTGCTACACACAGTGCCAGATAATATATAAAGGGAACTCCACTGCTTGAGATGATAAAATAGACATACCTATAGCAAACAATCTGATTTATCCCCTCTAAGAAGCATGTAAGGGGATGAATTGTGACTTAGCAGCTAAAGGTTCATATTGTTACTGTTAATCAAAAGAACATACAGTTTATTCAGGGTCCACAATGATCTTTGCTGCTTTTTTCATGACTGATCGCTCGTACGCGCCCCAATACTTTCCTCATTATCCTCATAGCTATTTTGTGTGCTCTGGCAGGCCTGCTTTTCAGCTGCACTGTTAAGTTGCCAAACATGCTGTGATTCCACATCTAATGATGCTCTCTAGGATCGCCCGGTAAAACATCAGCATGATCTGGCTGCCATCCAGTCTCAATCGCCTTAGAAAGTCTCCGCTGCAGTCGATTGCACAGGTGATCAGTGTGTGTTTTCCAGCAAAGAAGGCCGTCCATGTGGACACCTAAATATTTATAGGAGGACGCCTGGGTGAGTTTCTGGGTTTTGATGACCACTGCTCGTGATCATTTTTTATTTTTTTGCAGGGTTCATGTTTGTAACTGATTTCATAGTGTCCCAAAGTTTTTGGGATTTGTTTGAATTCTGTCTTTATTTCTAAAAACCTTTTTCCTATTTCTGCAGTCTTTAATTTATTTTGTAATTTAGGGTTTATTGTTAGGATAATCAACGACATCCTTCTTGTCTACCACTGTCCATGCAGAATTTTATGTAATCAATTATGATAACTGTAGTTTCATCAAGCATAGAATATGGACCAGTCCGTGCACATAAAACAGCCCCTATCGTCTGTCCACACATTAACAGACTGAGTCACTGCTGTGTGAGTCCTCTCTCCATGCCTATGAATAAACCTTGTACTCACACAGACGTGATTTAGACTTTTACTTAAAGAACCTGAAGTAGACCGACCAGCAAAACTTTCATTTCTCTGTCCGGCTTTCAGATCAAGTTCCTTACAGAAAAACTCTCACTTCTCTCTTCAGATCACATCCTCAATTCTACAGGCTCGTCTGACGAAGACTATTACTCAATAATGACCTAATGGACCCCCCTGTCTGATAGAACTTTAACACCCCCCTTTTACCCTGGGAGGAGCGGGTCAGCTGCTTGGTCATTCTCTCCGAGTTCTTCTGCAGCGTGTGGATCTGCTCCTTCTGGCCGAATACCATGTAGGCAGTGAAGACCTGGCTGGCCAGCAGCAGACATGCCAGGGTTGTCAGGCCTGCTATCTTCAAGGCACGGCTGTTGGAGCCCCTGAGAGTAAGAGAAATATAAAAATGATGTGTCTCTTGGACAGAATAAATCAGCAGGGGAGGGGGGATAACAAGTGTTAGGGAGACGTACAGCCACATTTTGACAGACTAAAAGTCTGATGTTACATTACACAAAATGTGCCAAAGAATTAAAGTTATTTGGGGATTTCCAAAAGTGCTCTGCGTGGTACTTTCACAGTCATTTTGTTTTAATACTTAGTTTGGACAGTCCAGCACACACACAAAAAAAGGCCCATAAGCAAACAAACAATCTGATGGTGTTATCCATATTCTAAAGAAAAGCAAAAACAAAGTAATCCCTTGAATTTACAACATTAATACTTACAATAATGTATATAAAAGACAAAAATATATTCAGCCTTTTATCTGTGGCTCATTATTAGCCAATAGAAAGTGAACATCACTTGTTACCAGGCAGACATCTTTCCCTGATGTAAGGAAGTACACACCCAGCTGCTATTTAGAGTCTATTTAAGATGTATAAATCGGTGTAAAATGTTTGTTTCTACTTATAAAAAGGTTCAAGCCCACAACTGTACATTCATTTATTTTACTGTTCTGCTACAATGAAAAGTTAAACTTCAACCCACAAATTGGAAAGAACATGTACTTCCATGTGATGTAAACAATGTCATCATATCTAATCTGATAATTTTATGATTATGTTTTAGTTAAATGTTATTTGGATAGAATAGTATTTAAACTAAATACATGTATAACAACAAAATAGTCAGTAAGGGGAGGAAAACAATGATTGTGATTCATAAAAAAAAAAAAACGTTTTCTACATTATATACATTAATTAAAAAATGTTATTCAATTGTAATACTTATAAAGGATGTTTTAAACTATATTCTAAGTTAAATGTTGAGCATTGGCCAGTGTTTTCCTCTGTGGCGAATTATGAACCAATAGCATGACCTCATCATCACCAGTTACTAGGCAGACAACTTCTCTTGGTGCAGGGTGAAGTGAATGTTACTGAAGATATTTAATGTAAAAAAAAAAAAACGAATTTAAACATAAAAAAGTTGTAAAGAATAAACTAAATCCACTAATTACTTCATGAACTAAGCTAAATCAAATTACAGGTTACAAACCAATACCATCCCATTTAGGAATAACAGAATATATAAAACACAATTTAAACAAATGCATAATGTCAATAAGTGCACTAAACAACTTGAACTGTGATACATAAACATTTTAAGTTTTAACTGCTTGATTCAAACCAAGCTGTACATAGAAGAGCAAGTACTTTATTAGCAAACATAAGCTCATCAGCTACTGCAGAGCAAACAGCTGTTGTTATGAGTATACATTTATAAAGTAAGCTCCTCTCACCCTCTTGGTCTTCCAGAGAGAACAAGGGCTTCCTCGCTGCCTGCCAGACTCCCTGTGGCCAGGGGTGCATCTTCAGAGTGGGCCATCTGTCCCAGACGATTCTCTCAGCCGCTTCAAAGCAACGAAATACACGAAGCACAGCTGTTCAAGTAGATAAATGGTCAAATAAGGAAGGACAACCAGACAGGTTCCTGAGAAAGGTGAAGGGATGCGGAAAGTCCCCCCAGTCTTAAAAGCGCTGGGGGATGGCTCAGTGCTGCTGTGAGAGCGTGCGAGCTGTGATTGGTCAGATTATCATCATCACTTGTTGATAGAGGCAGACAATACTGAAGGAGCATGGTGTATTTACGACCTGCACTTGTTCTATTATATGGTATTTTCTATTGTTTATGCTAACTCTAACTAAGCTAGTATGGTGCATTTGGTTAAAGTAGGTTTAATACTACTACTAGGTGTTTTTAAAATACTACTATGTATTATTACTCAGAGAAATAGTATTACTTGGGAATATTTTGTTAAGTTTTATTTGTATGTATATATATATATATAGTTTATGTTTTCCTATGAGCAAAGTTACAAAGTGCTTTGCAGGGAAAGAAAGAAGCAATCAATAAAAGGCAAAAAGTAAACAAAAGAACTATACCTCTAATACCAACAATAATAGAGCACTAATACATTTGACAATAATAAAATGCTCTTATTCTGAAATATTAGTCAGTAGAAACCATGAAAATGTATTTATTTATTTTATTTTTACGTGTAGCAGTTCATCTTTAATCAATTTGTTGTCCTCTGTTTACTTCCTGTAGCAATAGACGAAGACAGATTCTTTGGTACATTTTTGGTGTTTCCCCAACAAGGAATTAAAACTAAGGTAACATGAGCCACTTGTAAATCTACCTTGGACTAGTTGAAACATCAGAAGGACAAACAACAACAAAAGTCTTATTTTGTTGCTGAATAGGTCTATGCTTCATGTGATTATTAGAGATATTCAGGTTGCTTTCTTCTCGAAAGTACCTCACTATGAAGTGAAACCAAAAGGCAAACCAATCTGGTTTCTGGTTGTATTCAAGCCAGACAGTCCAAGTTTCCAGAAATCTCTGCACAAAAGCACTCACCATCTTCCTGCTTTGTGACGCACAATTAAATAAAACTTGATTTGTTCTGTTAATAGATACTAGTGCAGTGCCCGTACGAATTATGTATTGCTATAGAAAAGTGTGAGGTTAAGTAGCTTTTTCATGGATGGCCAAATGAGGTTGTGTTTGAAGGTGGGACGTCTGGGACATTTAGGACATATTATTTAATTCAATTCAATTCAATTCAATTTTATTTGTATAGCGCCAATTCATAACAGAAGTTATCTCAGGACACTTTTCAAATAGAGCAGGTCTAGACCGAACTCTTTATAACATTATTTACAGAGACCCAACAGTACCACCATGAGCAAGCACTTGGCGACAAGGGCAAGGAAAAACTGCCTGTTAAAAGGCAGAAACCTAGGACAGATCCTTCAGCTCTAGGTGGGTGGTGGTCTGTCTCGACCAGTTGGGGTGAGAGAAAGAGAGAGAGAGAGAGACAGACAGACAGACAGACAGACAGACAGACAGACAGACAGACAGGCAGACAGACAGGCAGACAGACAGACAGGTGTAAAGCAACAACAGTATTGGCAATGGCAATCTAGCAGGACCATGGCAGGAGGCTCCACCAGGATCGATAAGAACCTGTGAGACGAGAAAGCACAAGAACTCCGGGGAAGAAGTGAAGTTAGTTACATGCATTAATGGGACATGAATGAGTGCAGAAAGAGAGAGGAAGAGAGGAGCTCAGTGCACCATGGGAAATCCCCCGATAGTCTAGGCCTATAGCAGCATAACTAAGGGATGGTTCAAGACTCACCTGATCCAGCCCTAACTATAAGCTTTATCAAAGAGGAATGTCTTAAGCCTACTCTTGAATGTGGTGAGGGTGTCTGCCTCCCGAACCACAACTGGAAGCTGGTTCCACAGGAGAGGAGCTTGGTAACTGAAGGCTCTGGCTCCTGTTCTACTTTTAGAGACTATAGGAACCACAAGTAACCCAGCATTCAGAGAACGTAGTGTTCTAGAGGGGTAATAGGGTACTATGAGCTCTTTAAGATATGAAGGGGCCTGACCATGAAGAGCTTTATATGTGAGGAGGAGGATTTTAAATTCTATTCTACATTTTACAGGGAGACAGTGCAGAGAAGTTAGTACAGGAGAGATGTGATCTCTTTTTCTAGTTCCTGTCAGTACTTGTGCTGCAGCGTTCTGAATTAATTGGAGCGTTTTAATGGACTTATTGGGGCAACCTGATAACAAAGAGTTGCAGTAATCCAGCCTTGAAGTAACAAATGCATGGATTAGTTTTTCTGCATCTGTCTGTGATAGGATGTGTCTAATTTTTGTAATATTATGTTAATGAAAGAAGGCAGTCCTGGAGGTCTGCTTTATGTGGGAGTTAAATGACAACTCCTGATCAAAGATAACTCCAACATTCCTGACAGTGGTGCTAGAGGCCAAGGTAATGCCATCTAGAGTAACTATATCTTTAGACAGTGAGTCTCTAAGGTTTTTGGGGCCAAGAACAAGAATTTCTTTTTTTCTGAGTTTAACATCAGAAAATTGCAGCTCATCCAGGATTTTATGCCCTTAAGACATGTTTGTAATTGAGATAATTGATTAATTTCATCGGGCTTAATCAATAGATATAACTGCGTATCATCTGCATAACAGTGAAAGTTAATGGAGTGATTCCTAATAATTTTGCCTAAAGGGAGCATATATAAAGTAAATAGTATTGGTCCAAGTACAGAACCTTGTGGAACTCCATGACTAACTGTAGTATTAATTGAAGATTCATCGTTAACATGTACAAACTGCGAACGATCTGATAAATATGACTTAAACCAACTTAGTGCGGTTCCTTTAATGCCAATTTGATGCTCAAGTCTCTGTGAAAGAATATTATGGTCAATGGTGTCAAATGCAGCACTAAGATCTAATAATACAAGTACAGAGACAAGTCCATTGTCAGAAGCAATCAGAAAGTCATTATTAACTTTAACCAGAGCTGTCTCTGTGCTATGATGAACTCTAAATCCTGACTGAAAATCCTCAAATAAACTATTGTTATGTAGAAAGTCACACAACTCTTTGGCGTCTACTTTCTCCAGAATCTTAGAGAGGAAGGGGAGGTTAGAGATTGGTCTATAGTTGGCTAAAACCCCTGGGTCAAGAGTGGGCTTTTTAAGAAGGGGTTTAATTACAGCTACTTTAAAGGACCGTGGTACATATCCTGATAATAAAGAAAGATTAATCACATCCAGTAAAGAAGTGCCAATTAAGGGTACGGCTTCTTTAAGCAGCCTAGTTGGGATCGGGTCTAATAGACAGGTTGATGGCTTCGATGAAGAAATTATTGAAGTTAACTGATGAAGATCGATAGCAGAAAAACAGTCTAAATATATATCTAAGTTTACATTAGTTAAAGTTCCTGAACTTGGAGAGCCACTGATAACTGTTGATGGCAGTTGGTGATTAATTTTCTCTCTAATAGTAATAATTTTATTATAAAAGAAGCTCATAAAGTCGTTGCTACTTAAGTTTATGGGGATATGTGGCTCAATAGAGCTGTGGCTCTCTGTCAGCCTGGCTACAGTGCTGAAGAGGAACCTAGGGTTATTCTTATTTTCTTCTATTAGTGCTGAATAATAGGCTCCTACGGAGGGCCTTTCTATAGGTTTTAAGATTATCTTGCCAAATTGAGCGATATTCTGATAATTTGGAAGAGCGCCATTTCCTTTCAGATTTCCTAGCTATTTGTTTTAACTGGCGGGTTTGGTGGTTGTACCACGGTGCCAGTCTCCTATGTTTAAATAATTTCCTTTTTATAGGAGCGATAGAGTCTAATGTTGATCGTAGTGAGCCTGCAGCACTATCAACAAGATTATCAATTTCAGAGGGAATAAAGTTGTTATAGGATTGTGTTAAATTCAGACATGGCATTGAATTAAACACTGAAGGAATCTCCTCCTTAAATTTAGCTACAGCACTGTCAGATAGACATCTGCTGTAGGAAGTTTTGCCTAATGGCTTATAATCTAATAGTATGAATTCAAAAGTTATTAAATAATGGTCAGATAGGAAAGGATTATGTGGGAAGACTATTAAATGTTCAATGTCAATGCCATATGATAGAACAAGGTCAAGAGTGTGACTAAAACAATGAATTGGTTTATTTACACTCTGACAGAAGCCAATTGAGTCTATTAATGATATAAATGCGTTATACACATGAATATTAAAATCACCTACAATAATTACTTTATCTGATTTAAGGACTAAACTTGATAGAAACTCTGAGAATTCAGATATAAAATCAGAGTACGGTCCAGGAGCACGGTACACTATAACAAATAGAACTGGCTGCAGTGTTTTCCAGTTTGGGTGAAAAAGACTAAGAACAAGGCTTTCAAATGAATTATAATTTAGTTTAGGTTTAGGGTCCATTAAAACGCTCGAATCATAAATGGCTGCCACTCCACCTCCTCGGCCAGTGCCTCGAGGAATGTGAGTATTAATATGACTGGGGGGGGCAGTGGATTCATTTAGGCTAACATACTCCTCGTGGGACAACCAGGTCTCAGTAAGACAAAGTAAATCAATATCATAATCTGATATTAATTCATTCACTAAAACAGCTTTAGAGGACAGAGACCTGATATTTAACAGTCCACATTTCATTCTTTTATTTTGTGCTACTGAGGAGTTAGTTTTAATTTTTATTAGGTTTTTATGTTGAACTCCTCTTGTTTGTATTTCTTTAAATAATTTAGGTGGTCGGGGGACAGACACAGTCTCTATGGGGGTTTGGGTGGGTGACTGTTCTAAAGAAAGCGCAGAGAAGTGTGTAAGACAGCAGCTCTGCTTCCTGGTCCCAACTCTCTCCTAATCAGACCAGGTTTTCCCCAAAAAGGTTTCCAGTTATCAATGAAGCCCACATCGTTTGCGACATGCGGCTATACATGTCATCACTGGTCACACTGAGCAGGGGTCCAGAGAAAACTACGGAGTCCGACATAGTTTGTTCTGTAATATAGGCCAGCATACATCAGAGAGAGTCAGTCGGTCAGACAGTCGGATAACTGCACAGGTCTCTCACTCAACTTAATAAAGAGAAATGTC